TCGAATGCCGGCGGACATCACAACCGTCAAAATTACGCGTCAATATTTCATTCATTTTTTGTGTAGAAGCTAATGAACTGGAACGAAAACGGATGCCTGTTCGGCATTCAGTGAACATTGAAGGTTTAATGTAAAAGTTATTTGGCAAAAGTAAAAAGGCCATTTCATGGTCCCTTTAACGATGCAACCATTGTTTAATTTTCAATTATAGTACTAGCACATGTTGCTACCTGCTTTAAAAGGGTCAATGGCTACTCCAATTCAACATTTCGCCCACTACAAAGCCGGCAATAAAAAGTCAAATGCCACTTCCATCATTAAGGACAGAGAAACCTCGCCGTTGCTGAAAGTTTCATAAGCCTGGAATTGTCGGGCAACGTGACTAAAAACATGGGGGGGTAGGGCAGATAGGGGAAGAGCGGTAGCATTCATTTATTTATTTATTTATTGATTACGAGAGGTTGTAATAGCAAAATATGCTTCAAGTAAAATGCAACAATAGACTAAAAAGGCACTTTCAAAAGGCTTATACATACCATGATATACCAGGCAAGTGTCCACTTAAAATTTCGAGATAATTGCAAAAAAATGAGGGATGGGTGCTTGTCCGGTCATCACTTTTACATATAAATGTACTATGCATATTTTCTCAGATCTTATCAATTTGGGAATGGGCGCTTAGTGTGGAATGGGCGGATGCGTGGTGTTCTACGGTAAAATTAATAAAGCAACAAATCATGGCAAGCCGATAAACGTTATTCACACCAAGCACAATGCACATTTTCACGATGCACCGGAACCTTGTCCTTGGTTTTCTTGAACCATGACTGCCGCCTGTGGATCAAGGGTCTCATAAACATTGATAGAGGCTCGAAGCAGGAATCCAAATTGAGGTGGGTCTACAAAAAGGGCCGTCATAGTCATCATTGGCAGCTTTGAGCCTTTCTTCTCTGTTAGAGCACGGAATGCTTTATAATGCACACGCTACTCCCCTAAGCTTTGCTTTCATCGCGTCTGTGCATACCTTGTGGCATGTGGTGTCGCATAACGTTATATTATGCAACGTTGGGTAACGTAACACCTTGACTTGACACCATAGTGTCACATGCTGTTAAATGTCTTTCGAAAAAAATATGAAATGATCGTTTCTTAAAGGGATACTGAACCGAAATTTGGATTTCGCAAAGTAAGGCTGCAGAAGTGTTGAACAAGACGCAGAACTCCAAAACATCACTCGTGTATCGATATCTCAAACGGATGGCCGTACTTTTGGAAAAGAAGGGCGCGATCAAGCGAGTTCTTTGACGTAACTGTCCTCCGGGAGAATTTGAGAATGAGAAGAAGCAGCCCCGCTTCTCTCCTCCTCGCTTCGGTTCACCAGCTTGGCGGGACGTAGCGAGGAGGACAGAGAATGGGAATCGTGACGTGCCTTGTCTCGTTGGCCTTGTCGGCCGGGTTCAATCGCGCACTTCTTTTCCAAAAAAATATGGCGATCTGTTAGATATATCGCCGTATGAGTGATATTTTTTGGTTTTGCAGCTTCCTGCCTATCCGCCCGGCCTTGTTTTGTGAACTCGAAATTTCGGTTCAGTATCCCTTTAACCCCTTAAGTGCCTTGGACGAGCTGAGCTCGTCGGCCACTTTGTGGCTAAAAATGCCGTGGACGAGCTCAGCTCGTGCAGTGGTTTTTTTGGTAGCCCTCAATTCCACGGACGAGCTAGGCTCGTTCGAGTAGTTTTGTAGCGCTGATCATAGATGGCAACACTCGTTTTAGTTGGCAAATATTTTTTTTCTTTTGCTGATTTTTGCATGATAAGCTTTTCAATTTTTATGTGTAATACTAGAGGAATAACAGTTCAAAATAAAAAAGAAATATAGCACTTTTAGGTTACTTTTGGAAAAAAAAAATTTTTTTTTTTAACAGCCTGGTTGGGAAAAGGAAGTCATAAAACGAATTTACAACGAAAAGGAAAAATTGTTAGAGCTATATTTACGGCGCTATACGAATTTGTAGTTGGCACCCGCGGGCGTCGCGGAAAAGTGGTCGCTATTTATCACATGACTGGTCGTTATTTGTCACATGGTGCTTGCGGTCTTTCGGAAGCTTCCTATGGTCTCTCAAGGTTACTTATTCATTTTCGTTTGAAGTGCGACAAAATACGAAGATTAATAAGTAACTTTTAGAGCCCAAAGGAAGCTCCTAAAAAAGTGCAAGCAGATTTAATAGACCTGTGTGCCGGTCAGATGGCGGCGGTGGCCGGTCAGATGATGGCAGCGGTGCCCCGGAGCAAACGATCTTGCGCCTGGCAGCATGAAGAAACGCGTTGAACCGGCGGCGCACCAAGCTCAGCGTGCGGCGGCGGTGTTATTTTGTGGCGGAAGCAGCGCCGCGCGACGGCGCACAGGTCTACCATGTGACCCGCAACGGCTCTCGCGGGCGCCAACTACAAATTCGTTTTGCGCCGTAAATATAGCTCTAAAAAGCTTTTTTCTTCATTGTAAATTTGTTTTATAACATTCTTTTTCCTTCTAGGCTGTTTAAAAAAAAATGTTTTTTTCATTTGCATGTGTCTTTTAAAGGGGCACTGACACCCCAAAGGTCATATTTTTTTTTATTGTCTAAAATGATGCAAGTTGCAGTCATAGACATGCATAAAAAACCGCATCGCGAAAAAAAAACTTTTTTCGCACGCGCGCGCGCTTTTTAATTTTTGCTGTTTCATTCTCCCGCCTCTCGCCTCCTCGCTTCTTTTGATTCGTGACGTCAACAATCATGAAATTTAGAAGCTTTGTAGGCGACATCTCTATAACACTTAATAACGCAGTGATGTGATGGCTGCGCCAATTGTGCCAAACTGCGCCAAGGGGATAACCCTGCTACATCCTGCTACATTTTGCCCAAATATGGGTAATCTGCGCCAAGCCTGTGCCAAAGGGCCAATTTTGGTCGCTTTTTAAAACCAAAACTAAACAAAGTACCGTAACTGAGCATGCATGAGCTAGGCGGCGCCAACGGCCGCCCGACACTAAACACCCTGCATCAATCGTCCATGGTTTTTTTGCATGTTTTTTTCCGCCATGCCGTCTCTTTTTTCACGCTCTCGTCGTCTCGTAAGTGTAAATCTCGTCTCGCGTTTTTTTTAAATTTTTTTTACGATAGATGCCGGTGTGTGTTCGTGCTGCGACGCTAGCGTGCTGGGTACCAGCTATGACATGACGCTATGAAACGAAGCTATGTTTCGGCGGGGCGGGAGTTACTTTTTGAGCTGAAGCTCTCGCTCCTGAAATCAACGGCCACACGACGTTGGAGATATGGAGCTTCCTAAACTGAAACATAAGGACCGCTGCATGTTCATCAACATTCATGTTCTTGTTTAAAACATACGCTGCTACAAAAATCCCTCTCTAGCTCAAAGACTGCTGTGTCGAAGTATTGATTACCTAGGTTTCTCTTGGTGGGCTTTTTTTCGAGAGGGACCCCGGTACGTGAAAAATGTGTCGCGAAGAAAAGTTGAAGTCAGCTAAACCAAAGAAGGGAATGTCTGCACGCTGAACCCGTAGAGCGCGCTTGTTTGTCTCAAGTTCAGTCGTTGCACAAAGCAACCCTGGCTCGCGATGTCTTGCATCAATGCGCTCAGGTTCTTTTTTTCTGTGTTTATCTCGTACCTCACCTGCCGGCCTTGCAAGCACTCGGCGCTGTACTCTTTTTTTGTCGCATGCTGGGCAGTTACATTTTGCATAGACTTTTGGCAACCAGTTGGCGACGGAGCGGAGAGGCATGGTTTCGGTTTCGATCGAACAGCCGTTTCGCTCATCGACGAAGCACGCGCACGTGCAAGCCTGCCGGAGTTGCCCTCACGTGCATGCGAACCAACGATGCGAACATAATTGCACGTCAGAGGCACTAGCCGGGACGCTTGCAATTCATTGCTTTACATTTAATTACTTTTGACGAAAATCTGGCACATCGGCAACCAGTTAAACGGTGGCAAACGGTTTTTCGGAATTGCTTGGCAATGCCTACAGCACTGTACACTTGTGGGATGTTGCAATGTCTCTTTGGAGACATTGAAATTGGACATTCATTACTACCCTAAGCTAAAGCAAAGCTTGCTCCAGCCTTGCAGAATGTTTCAAAAAAGCAAAAAGAAATGTGTCATGTCTTTGGCATTTTAGCTACATCTTGAAAGACTCCCAGGTGGCCGAACTTGACCATAATTGGTTTATTTCGGCGAGCATGGTTCTCTTCGCGTGTCCAGCATTTAAAACAAATATTTTTATTTTTATTAGAATATCTGCTTTAAAAGCTACTTTTGCTGCTCCAAAACACTGTTTTGGCTGCTCCAAAGGCCACTTTTTCTGCTCCAAAACGGCTTAGGCCAATCACATCACTGATAACGGCAATCGTAAAACATGTTTTTTAGCGCAATTGCGAACGCACTACGGCCCTTCTTTTTGAAATACCAAAAATCGGAGTCCGTTGTGGTGCCGTCTCCTGGATTTGTATCCTCACACGGAAAACAGGCGACACCGCTCAAAACCGGTCCGCCCGGCGCCGGCGCTCGCTCCTTTCCTCCTCGCTTTGGGTCGCCATGGCAACAGCAGGGAGTCGTGAAAGAAAGTGGACTCTCGGGACTCCGCAATATCTGACGTCAACTCATCGGCGCGGATCGCGCGGGAACTTCGAATTTGGCATTTGGAAATCGTTTTTTTTACTTCACAAATACTGAATTCCCAAATTTCAAATTTTGAGGGTAATGTCCCGGCATCGTTTTCAAATGTTTCGGATAATAAAAAAAAATATGATTTTGATGTGTCAGAGCCCCTTTGATGTTTTATTTCGTGCATCATAGGACTTCAGAAATTAAGGTTGCTGCCAACTGTTTTTTTCACATTATCGGCGAGCTTCACTGAGGTTGCTCGAGAGTTTAAGAAATTTATTTGAGCAACATGAGAGGTCACGTCGCAAGGTGTCGATTACGACTGCTGCCGTCTCGCAGGTAGGAGACCGTGGCCTGGCCTGCCTGGCGAGGCATTGCCCCAACCTGCGTAAGCTGAGCCTCAAGTCGTGCGACTTGGTGACGGACAGGGGCCTGCAGGCCCTGGCCTACTTCTGCCGAGGCCTGCAGCAGCTCAGCCTCCAGGACTGCTCCATGGTGACCCTCGACGGGTATCGCACTGTGCGCAAGCTGTGCCGCCGCTGCATCATCGAACACACCAACCCGGGCTTCCACTGACCCGCCCGCCAACCTCCCACGAGGTCCTGCCAGTGCGGGCCAACGACGGACTGCAGTGGCGAAGAAACTCTTCGTGCTCCTTGGAGAAATGCTTCGATTTGATCGAGATGTTTTTTTTGTCTAGTTACCCAATTTGCATTATCTTAACTGAAGTCTGTGCAAGTTGGGAACGTGAGCCGGAGTGGTCCCTCATCCTTTTCAGTGCCATAGACAAGCATCGTTTGTTTGTGGATGTTTGCTTTGCACGACCTTCTCCAAAAAGACTGTGCGTGTGATCGTATACTTTTCCAAAATTTTGCCATTGCACCAGCGCCCGCAAAGCTGATTACAAACAAATATGGCTTCTTACAGTGCAAAAGTCGTTGGAAGCAATCAGCTGTGATGTCAGGCACATTGTCAAAATGCAGCCAGGAGTTGACTTATGAGATGGGGCTTCAGATCCCTCCGCAAAATGCAGTCAATCCTATGGGCATGGCATCATCATCTTATGGGCATCATTCTCCATGCTTGCCATTCAATACAGCTATCATGCATTGGCATTGTTCCAGAAAATAGTAGACGAGGCTAAACAACTTTTTAATAGAAGTTTGAACAATGGTCTGTTCAATTTTATCTTCAATCTCATTGGAGTATTCGAAAAAAAATTTCAGCTTATTACATAGGCAGTTTAACATCTGTGAGTCTGCAGCATTAATGCATGGCCACATGGTGCAAAATGACTTCTGTAGTATCGGTGATGCAGGTGCCACTTTCCTAAGGCCGGCTTCACACGGAGCAACTTTGACTAATGTCTTGACATTACGTCGACTGCAACACGAGTCTGCATTCACACGCAGCGACCATTGAAAATCAGTGTGCTACGTTTTGTCATCGTCATTGTTGAAATAGTAATTTTGACGCACTATTTGGACACAAAGTTTCATCTTAATAAGACGTTTGATGTCTTTAAGTCGTGTTGCGACTAACCAGCAATTTTCCCAAAATAATTTAGCTTTGAAAATGATCCATTGCAAAACAGAATGAAGTTGCGTTCCAGTCTTTAGTTATCATTAATATTGCCATGGGGACCTCTCGTGAAAGTATCTCGTCCCTGGTTGAATTCTGCCGCTTCAGACGTCTCCGAGTTGCTCATCTCGCGCATCACTTTCGCTTCAGGTCGATCCCAGTAATTCATGTTGCAGCACAAACGTCTAAGGAACAACTCGTCAGCAACCTTGAAATTCCAGAGAAAATTGCCTCGTCTGAAGTGGGCCTTAGTATGGAAGTGCACATGGGGAGTAATGCTCCTCCCAGATGGGTTTGTGCACATGGGCTTTGATAATTTTGAAAGAACAATGTTGCAGCTTACAGAACACTGGCACATGGAGTGACTGCCTGTTTTTGATATAGACAGGTGATCTGAGGGAACAGGTTTGTTGGTGCCCAAATAAGGACTTTTGCAGAAACCTTATTGACAATAGAATGCCATTTGGGTGCCAATGTTACGATCCACGGCACAGTCATGTGCGACGTGTATCAATTCTTGCTGATTCAGGGCAACTGTTATGCAAGAGGGACCTCTTTGCTAGAAGGTGTAAGAGAGGGAAAGTAGAAAGTCCTTCGGAAATCTTGGTGTGGTCATTGTTTGTACTGTAAAATCAAATGCTCTTTAAGTGTGTGGATTAGCGGAAAGCGACTAAGGTTTGGAACGAGGTATTTCTTTTCTGAGAATATTGGTCTGATTTCCATTGCAGTGTGGGATATATGCACCTCAAGGTCATGTCAGTTTGCATAGTTGTTTGGCAGCATAGTGCTGTAAATAAAAGTGTGTGTACAGTTAGGCTTAGGTTTTTGTTTGGCTAAGTTAGGTAGCAATCGGCTGTTTTTTTTAGCACTTGGAAGGCAGGTGCTCATGTTCTCGTCACAACTGTACCTCAGTGTGCCTCCGAAATTCATAAATTCAAGCATGAAATTTTTTTTTACTCTTACACCTTTTTTTTTTTAAGGATATTTTTTTGGTGGCCATTATATGAAAGTTGCATCATTTTGTGGAATTGACTTATAACTAGGGTTGGATGTTTTCAGGTAAAGCCTGGCTTTACCCAGTGAATACATCATGAATGTGGTTTGAAAAATTGTTCCCTGGATTTAAGAATGTGGCAAGCACTGCCTGGTGCAGGATTTCTCATACTGCTTTCCTAGAATCCCAAGGTTACCCCCAGAGTACTTCCAGGGGTTCCTAAAACATCCAAAATTCTTTCTTATCATCTGCACCCCTGAGTAAGTTGTTTTCCCAATTTAAGTTCTCTTTTGGCTCATGAGCCAAAGCTCCCCCCTAGTTTGTGCATTAGTGTTGACAAGGTCTGCGGGCTCCTGAGCTGCATCAATTAAGCGATGCCGAAACAAGTTCATCGGTTGTGATTTAGAGGGACTCTGCATGCTCAAAAACATTTTTTTCCTGGCTGCATGGGCGGCCACATATCTCACAAGGTGCCCTTTTTGCAGGAAGGAATTCATTAACATAATACTTGAACTGCGAGACGTTTATCAATCTCTGAGCGATTTTGTCTTTTTGCTTGTGCTTACTCGGAAGACTTGGTGATAAACGTCACTGCGATGACAGATTGCGAGCTACTTCATCAGCCTCCCATTGGCTGAAAGGAGTATGGAGGACACATACCCTCACCTCTCCTTTATGCCTCTGTTTACGTTTCTGTGCGCTGCTAAAAGGCGAGAGAAAGAAAAGTGGAGTGGGAGATTGACCTGTACATTCCACTGACAGCTCTGTCTAAATTGACTCCTGCAGCTTAAGTATTCCAGTAATTAACTGTTTGTTTTTTTGGGGTGGAGTGGGGTGGGGTGGGGGGGGGGGGGGTGCATTTTGTGACACATGTGGCCAATGCAGGCAGTTTGAAAAAAAGTAGTCCTGAGCATGCATTGCTCAAGGTGAGAGCCAAAAACTGTGTCATTTGCTACAGGTTTTAAAGGTGGCCATTATCGCTTAAAGGTAGACCAACAAGCAGAGAGAAGGAAACTCTCCCTCAATTCCTCCGTTCCATTTGAGAAAGAGGGAGACCCTCCTTCTCTCTGCCGGAAATAGTTCAGAGATCCGCTCCTGTGTGGAAAGGAGGGGAAAAGTTGGCGAGAGGGAATGAAGAGAAGGAAACTGTAAACCGTTTTTTTCCATGGTAGAAGACGATTATGTAGGTCGGACTTTAAGGAACACTGGGAGCGAAAAAACTTTGCTTTGAAACAAAAACCTCAACACCTTTTTTTAACAAACTGAAGGACCAGACCGGATATGGGATATATGTCCTGGCTTCCCCGCTCCTGCAGGCTCACTGCTGTAACGGGGGATGCACAACCCATCAATTGGCAAGTTGGCAAAATCTAGTTTGGAAGACAACCAATTGTGCAGCCCACAGTGATGTTCCATATGTTGCGTATGTGAGACGCCTTTAATTTTTTTTACTTTTCCTGACTCCTCTTTGCCATTCTACTCACAGACAGTGCTCTTGGCGCTGTTTGTGATGTCCTGTAAAAATTCTAACCGACTTCTGTCGGGTTGTGTTGGACCCAAAGTGATGCTATAATAATCCGTGTTTTTTGATTAAAAAGTCAATGCATTTTTCAGAAATTCCAGTTGGTGCATTTTGTACAACAATGCAACTTGCATACTTTTTTTTTTTTTTACATATATAAGCATGGATTTTAGCTTTGGAGATTTGTTAGGGGGTTCTATTTCTTGTTAGATTTCATGACAAGAATATTGAAACTTCACGTCGCGGGCACATATATCGCGATCATTATACACAGATGCAGGCTTTTCAATGCAGTTTCGCAGTGCCGACCATACAAATATATAGAGGCGACTTGCATACCAGCTTCCTTCTGGAAACTGCTTTTTTTTGGGGGGTACAGCCTATACAACGGTACAATCTATAGACCGGAAAATAAGTTATGTTGTGGGGCTTTGGCGTAAACAGTATATGGCTGTTTTTTTGTGAAAGGAAGTAGAACGTCCCTGCATTTCCTATTTGAACTGAGTCTGTCTAAGAGTAAAAAGAAACATTGGAAAAGTTGGTCAGAAAAATATGTTAAGAGAGCATGTATAAAGGCAGCACGGCTTGGGTTTTTGCAGCTGCTGCACCCTGCAAGGTCAACACTGGGCCTTCCTTGAAAAGCAATGTCCTTATTCTTAAAAGGCATTGAAAATGTAAAATAGAAATAGTATGGCTTTCTTGTTACATTTGTGAGATGTGCATTAGGTTTTCTCCAAATCAAAAACGGTTGAAAGAAAACCTGCCTTGTCCCAGTTTTTGTAAAACAGATTACTAATTTATTTTTTCTCTGGGGAAGAATATGGAAGTTGAGAACATCTATCCCCATTTATGAATGCTATTTTTGCCCGGAATGTAAACTGAAAGCACATGGGGCAAATCAGGCGCATTAGTACTACTTACCAACATATTTTCTCACTTAAATTTTGTCTAAATATCTAAAATCCATGCACTTTTTTTATTTTTGTCTTGAAAACCTTTAAAGTTTTACGAATGTGTACACTGCAAATTTACAAAACATTGTGCCTTTGAATGAGTGCCTTGAGTTGTATACCGGTGGCGGTTTCACTTGAAGAGGGTTGTCACTGTTAGTGCTGCACAGGTGAAATATAATGTTTGTATTTTTACCTCGGCCTTCTACACTGTACAAGCATTTGACTTTGTAAATGTGCCGTAAATGACTTATATTTCACATGTTCTTAATCCTCAAAAAATCGAGTGGAAGTTTGATTCCCACCAAATATTCCTAATATTAGGCAAAGCCGCATGATTTTGAACTCGGGAGAGTATCGTTGTTTATGGTATGTCTCAACTTTTGGATTTATAGGCCTACATAGAGGTATCTCTTGTCATTGCTGGCCCATCCGATTTTGAGACTACACCCGAGTTCTATTCGAGATACGAGCAAACACACCTTGTAGGGACGAGAGTATTATTATTTATGAAAGAGCCTTGCAGCCTCCCGTGCTGGTCATGTGGAGTTGTTGTGATATCGATCTGTGTTGCATCAGAATCTCAATTTTGGTTCTGATATTTGTGTTCACTTTCCTTTTGATTCAGCTTATGCTATTTACCTGGTTAATTTTGCTTCCTAACTGTTCTTCCTTAAAAAGGCCCATTGACAACAGATAAGCCATATTCTCTACCTGCATGTTAGGGGAAACCCTGCTTTGTGGTTAACTAACAAAAATTACCTAGTTTTTTTTCTCTTTTTTTTTTTTTTTTTTTTTGTCATTGGAGTTTTAGACTTGTTAGGAATATGCAGGGCTGCTTCGAAAAAAATGATTAGAGCAGCGCTGGTTTGCTACGCAGCCTCACGTTTTGTAAGCGTCCCCAGGCAAGTTTGTAAACTGTACATCTCTGCAGGCAGTGCTACCAATACTTATTTTTTGTTTACTCCTTCCAGACACAAGGGCTTCACTAACAGAGGAGCTTTATTATGGTTTTACTCTAAATTATCATTCCAGCAAATGTATATAAGTGGCTGATGTTATCTTTACGCCTTTTAGAGGATGAAATACGGAAGGAAATTCCATGGCATACGTTTTTGTGGTGGAACTTCTCTGCTGTGTGTTGGTGCCATTCAGTCTTCTGTACATATAGGCTACAGTTTTCGTTATTGTACAGTTCGATTGCTCACATACTGCGGAACATTCCATACTGCAATAACAAAATATGGGTTCACCCAAGAAATTGTCCGTTAACATGCTTTTGACGTTGGACTGCTGCTTTTTCGTCGGTTTGTTGTGAGCCATTGTTACATGTTGGTGAAGATGCACCTGTTTCATTTTTTGTTTTAATGAAATCGACAAATATTTGGGGTTTCAAATTTGTGTGAACACAGTTTGTACCATTTACAATGTTCAGTGTTCACTCACAGCCAACTCTAATTAATGTGACACCTCCCGCCTCCACCAAAATTGGTAGGAATGTGAATGTGTCATATTAATAGTAGGAGTTTCTATGAGCTGGAGGACATGGTTTCCCCAAAATTATGGTCAGAGAATGAAAGTGTGAGACTAATGCATATCGCATTAATGGAAATTGCCTATATGCATCAGGTTTATTTTGCTTGCACGCTACACCCGACTGCATGGCTGAGCAATACCTAAATTTGATGCCTTCAAAGCTGCCAGCAGGGTAGCACAGTCCACAGAAATGGTGGGCTTGTAGTACCAGTTGCTCCTCAGTGTGCTAATATGTATTTAATTTATTTAAAATGCCATTTAACACGCGTGGTTGTTTTAAAGAGAAGAGAGCGGATTATATGAAGAGCTTGAAACACTCCATATGCAATTACATACTTTTAACTTATAACATGTCAGACTCATGTACAGTCTATATTCTGCTTTGTGGAAGCAGAAGTGCACCTAGCAAGAAGTTTTGGCTGTTCTTTTACAACTGTGCACTGTTGCAACAATGGTGCCGACTGTGCAACAACTGTTTGTTGGTGTTGTCTGAATGCATGTTTTAATTAGTAGCGTTCACACATGGGGCACGTGCCCCCCCTCAAGTGCCTAAACCTGGACAGCCATGTTTATATTGTTCTGATATAAAATGAAATGAGATAATAAACTTGTTAAAGCTCTTTATATACCACATAAGATGTTGTGTGTTGTTCGTTTGTCAGCAACTTGGCTGCAACTTGTTCACTTATGATTAGGGATGCTGGCGACTATTTTTATGGTGTGCGGGGAACACTCAAATGCTTTTTTTTAATAGCTTTGTCTGGGTGAAGACCTGTCTGAAGTGTACTTTACTTGGATGACATTCACTGAACTTAAATTTTTTTCTGGTACTTTCCGAGAAACTTCAAAGATTTTTTTTTTCCCCTTCAATTTGAGGGATAATCTACTCTCGCAAGAAACGCGAGAGGACTCTGCATTGCTCCGTTTAAACTGTGGGCGGCTTTCTCAGGGCATTTTTAACTTCCGCAAGTATTTCTCGTTCGGTCGGCGCAAGCGAGAAGATTAAAAATGCTAGGCGATGACACATCTCCACGAGGGTCGAGGGGGAAAAGGGAAAGCAGAAGTGAAGAGGCGAGATCTCCTTTCCACAACGGCTTTCCTTTTGGCACCATTTCCAAAAATAACTAATCTGTGGCCAGTTGACTGTCCATTATTCGCATGCACCCCCGGTTACCCGGGCCCTGGGGCAATGCGTACCAAAACAATTTAATTCGCGAAAAAAAAAAAAAATCGAGCCATTCCAGTCTGAAGGTGGATGACCAGCGAAGCTGCTTAGCACGCGACACAGACGTGAGACAAAATTTTGAACCAAGGTCCAAACACATTTATTAGAGAGTTTTAGTAGATCTCTTTTCGTCCCGATAACCATACGATGCATGCCCAAGGCCGCCGGGAGGGAGAAGAGGGATCGTTATCGGGGCGAAAAAACGATCTGCTAAAACTCTATTGTCTTGATCGGTGGTCATCGTGACGAAAGGTACGCACACGCATTTGTTGTCTTGATCGGCGGTCATTATTTCGCTTGAACGACTAGCGCCGCCCGAGAAGCCGGAGGCGCGCGACGGGACCGTCACCCGGCGGCGGGAAAGTAGACACGCGCCGCGGGACCGCCAACCCGGGAGAGCAGAAGGAAACCAAATTCACGCAAGCGCTTGGAACGACGACAAAGAGGGCGCTGCGAGCGTAGACATGGCCGACGCGAGTCGCACAGCGGCAAATCTTTGAGAAACCTTTATTATCTACCTGAGAGTCTACTAATCTTGAAAATGGTGTCCATTGATAACTACTCTACTGAATAGACCTACTGC